CATCAATGTTTAGTAAATTGCACGGACAGTATTTGTAAATAGTAAATATAGACTGGTGACATTTTTTAACATTAGTATCATAAAATACAAATAGCAATCCATTCAAAGCTAAGTGAGATTCAAACCAACGCAGAATTTAAACGAAATGTTCAAGTAGTAAGTAAATTTTAAAATGTAAATTATCTTGGATTACTCAGACTGTTGATTTTTGCTGAACAATCACTAGTTTTAGATCTTAGTGATCTGATTTATCGAGTTTGTACTGATAAGGTGGAAGGGGTCTGATTTGTGTCATTGTGTTATTTGTAAGCCAGCCAATACCAAACCAGCAAATCGTGGTTTCTTTCCAAAAGTATATTTTATGAGTCCTTTGTAATCCTATCGAAGGAATCCGTAGTGGAGAAAACTTCACGATTCCTCTTATATAGAATCAGTATTGAATTTTATTTATGCAAAGCATGTGTAAGTAAGTATGTAATGGCATTAATTTGTTTATGTACCCAAAATAATTGTTTACTTCATTTTTGTTGTGCTATTTATGATTTTTGTTAACGTACATTTTTCATATCCTAGAAGTCTGGCTCCTGCTCGAAACCGTTTAAACACATTTAGGCTAGACCTAGAGGGTTACCACATTTTCACATACTGGTAGTGGTAGCTTACGTACACTGTTGATTGGCGGAATTTGAACCCGGGACCTTGCGCACCAACGTCGCGAGCTCTACTAACAGACAGGCTCGCTCCTAATTGAATTATTCTGTTTAAACCTTTTATTGCTATTTTCACTTGGTTTTTGGGTGCTGACTGTGGTCCAGTATGTTACAAAAACTTCGTAATTCAAATCAAAAGCTTTAAAAGAGAGGTTTTACGACACCACTCAATTACACGTTCTGTCCTTTAATAGAAAAAATAAACACACCAATCGCCGAACGGTTAGTTTAATCTTTACCTGTCATAACGCACAGTTCAGTTTCACCATTCCCATCGTCCAGTGTTCCCACGGGTCGTAGCGTGGCCAATGCCGTGTCCCGTGGTCCGTGTACCGACGTTCCCATGCTGTCTCTTGTTTGCTGTATCTCAAGCCAATATTGATTCTTCTCTCTGTTTTATCTCTCGTATTCTTTTACTGCTATGTTTAGCTCCCGCGAAGTGTTTAACTTATAAATGGTTATTACTGCAGATGCATTCAAAAGTGCAGTCACGCTAAACTGATGAAATAACTCTTGTGATTAAAACAACAAATTACTCATATCATACACTGTGGGACAACTGCAATATCAGAACCGGGTGTTGAAAAGAAACTCCCAAATTTTATTTTATTCTCTACTCTTTTTGGACATAACAGCTAGTTTTCTTAGCCAAACTTGGTTAAAAATGTAAGTTTCCCAGTATTTACATGATTCTTTAGTTTTCAGACTTATCTTTACAGTACATCTGGTCAGTTTAGTTTGAATTACAACACGCTACAACAAATATACAAATCGTCTTGATTAGTGTAAAACAGAGGTCGTCCCGTGGTCGAAGACTCGACCAAAAATATGTTTTTCCTACAGTCACCCGACAAAGTTGGCTTCCCTGTACTGTTTATAGTACAGAAAGCTGCTAATTGCTGCATATTTATACTTTGCCGTACGGTTTATACTTTGCCGTACAGTTTATACTTTGCCGCACATCAGGATTCCAACCAAACAACACAAAACAGCGTGGTTTTATTATGCACGTAATCCGTGTACGCTTGGAAATAGGTTGGCAACACTTAAAGATAATAATTCTATGAGCAGCTGATTGACTATTATAACTACGATTTAACCTGTCATTTCGTGTTTATAGTTTCAGTATTTCTGAACTTTCTGGACTTTTCTTTTAAACGTTTTTAAAACATTCCTACGATCTTAATAAACAAGAAAATACCTTTAAAGCATTTTTTTAGGCGCGGAAACCACTTCAAATTACTAAAACATACGGAACTATATTCTCAAAACGCGGAGCACATTTCTTGCCGAGGAAAAATAGCGGAGTGATACGGACTGCGGGTACTACTTTCTCTAGGGCACCATTTGTGTTGCCAGCTGAACCTAAAAAAGTGTTGTATGGTGGTTGAAAGACTAATTATTTATATGCTTTATAGTGACTGTAGGAAAAATATAATGTGTAACACGAGTGAAAAAGGCCTTTGCTGCACTCGAGATCATTCCGCACTCGCCTGCGGCTTGTGCGTAAACATTGCTCTCGTGTGCAGCAAAGTGCCACTTTCACCACTAGTTACACAAATAACTATTGTGTAAACATGTGATAGGAATTGCTTCCATTTGTTTTTATTTTCGGTTTATATTTCATTGTTATTTCGTCACCAGCAGGACCCATAAAGCAATTTTTGTTAATTTTGTTGAAATTTTTTAATACTGTACAGTTTTTGTGCTTATTATTGAGCCTATTTTGACTTATAAGGGATTCTGCACATCCACAGGCAAATATATTTGTAACAGTATTCGTAGATTTTCCATAAAATGCACACGAGCTGAGAAAAACGGTTTTAAAGAAACATGCTTGCCTATTAATAAATAGATTAACTAATATAACTTAAAACACTTTTCCTATGGGTTATTCTATATGTTATTTTCTTTCTCATTGGTCATTGCTTTATTCCAAACTTATATTGATAACTCGTTATTAAAATTATCTTATATTTCTACACGAGAGTTACACAACATTCTATAGAACACAGGCGACGCAATGACAAGAGACGATTAATTAAGTCCCCTAACCTTATTTATATGCATATAACTGAGAATGTTGTAGCATAAACCTGACATAATCCCGGTTCCAAGACCAAATGTCCCGTTTAAGCACCTACCCTTGCATAAATCACTTACCCTCGCATATTGATTATCTTATAAATTGTACGCTCTGGCCTAATACTGCTGATATACTGACATTGTCTCCTAGAGACAGATTGCGGAATATTACTCCCTTGCGCCTCTAGTCGTAAAATATGTAGTAATATAGTAGTAAAAGTGTCATGTGCTTTGTCATTTGGACTTGGGCTCGTATGAAATCAACATAACATCTATACTTTGTTTTACATAATTTACTCGGTTTCATAATAATGTTTTTAGCTTGAATGTCTATTTTGATATTAAGCGTAATGATAAAATATGTCACACTCAGACCAAACTATGTAGGCTATAGTTGTATTTACTGTGTAAATTTAGTATAAAATTAGTAACCTAAGCAAATAAAGTTGTTCTTTCTTTTTCTGAAAGCTTCAATAAACATCCAAACTTGATGGATTTAACCTATATCATTTAGATTCAAAAACCTTCAAGGTATGGACACAAAACCCGTTGAAATATGGGTTTTTTGTATATACCGTTGAGCAAATAAATAACTGAATAAATCACGTGAATAATTTGTATTTCATCCACGTGGCCGATATACCTAAATATTGAACATCTCTGTCACGTAAAACGTCGTTCAGCGTCCGATGGAAACATAAATAAAAGACCGACGGGATGATTAATGTATCCGTCCAGTTTCACTAAACTGAATACACAACTAAATCAGAAACATTTTTTTGATTATTTTCATTTTGTAATGTTGGTAGTGGTGCACTAAGTCTGAATTTCCCTCGAGAACTTGGGTATCTCGTCGGTGACTTCCAAAGTCTCCGTTTTAATTATTGCTACGTCATTGTTATCCATAAAAGAGGGGTATGTAAGGAAAGTGGGATTTATGTTAGGTAAATTTATGTTGGAATGATATATGATTTTACAAAGGATCGCTAACGACACGAATAAAGATTCTATACGACGATGGATCGTTAATAATTTTTAACCTCGAACAGCCCATGTACACATGTTTTGTAATGTCTTGTAGAGTGATGAATACAAGCCATGTTAGTTTATGGTATACTAGCTGTAACCCGCGGGCTTTGCCCCGTTTAACTTCTTAATTTTCAAGATTATCTCGTTCGCATGGCTCAATCACGTCCTGGTTGAAGTTTGTTCGCTACGCTCACTCACCTTTAGGTTGGAGCTCGTTCGCTACGCTCACTCACCTTTAGGTTGGACAATACAAGCGACAAATACTTGCCTTACCAATATTTGTAAAATCCGTAATAAATTATATATGAACGGTTCGAGGTTCACAATTATATTTTTATCTGTCTATAGCCAATAATGTAATTAAAATAATAAGGTGGCACTTGGTACTTTTAAGTGTTATTATTACAATGCATATTATTTTGGCTTATTGTTGTCATCATAAACAACAGCTAATCTAGCCTGTTCAAGTTATTCTTGATCAGCTGATTTGTTACAACGTGATAGTAAAAAATATATATTTAAATAGAAAAGTTAGATTTTTTCGTATCAGCTGTTTCTACTACATTGTTGTCATGCCAATTAGCTTTCGCTCGTAGTTTAATTACAATTTCACATGAGAGATGTTTCTAAATTCGAATTATAGCAAAATAATAGCGAGAGAACCGCGAATCAATCCTCAATATTCTAAATTTGAACAACAATGTAAGAATTGTGAAGATTCATAACCAATTGAATGTTTCCTGTATCCAATATAGAATTTTTACACCAAGGTACACGTGAACAGGTTTTGTAAAATAGGTAAGGTAGGACGCAGCTAGGAGTAATTTAGTCCTGAAATGAAAAATGAGTGAGAGACGGGTTGGATGCCTCGCGTAGCTTCGTCACTGACTAAGATAAGCTGTTCTTTAGCTAGGGCCATTTATTTAGCCCAATGATCAAGAAAAGTTAAGCCAGGCTATAAACAATCAAAAAACTAGCGATTTTTTATCAGGGTCATTTTGCTGATCTTAGACTGATGATTGTTATTTGTTATTTCCATACTTTTTTGATGTAGCAGCTACATGTGTAATTTGTCTTTTATTGCTTATACAATGGGTTAACGTATAAGTAAAAACTTTAACTCAGAACCTCAGCGTCAGTTGTACAGGATGTTCTCTAACTCTTGGTTGTCCACAGGTGCCCAGGTGAACCCTGCAGTGAGTGTAGCCATGGCGGTCACTAGGAACATCTCCTACCTGAGGGCGGTGTTGTTCATCACAGCCCAAGGTGGGGGCAGCATAGCAGGGGCGGCACTGTTGTATGGGTGAGTGTCATGATACTATGCAGTACTATATTGACTTCGAACTTAGACATTCATAAACTTACTCCCTTAGATGTATTATCCTTGTGGTTTCAAATAAAAAAAACGCTGATTTTGATGAGTGCTAAATCTCCGGTAAAACCTAGAGTGCCGTTAATGGCAACTTCTTTTTACCCTCATCTACTTTAAAATTGTATATGGTACACTTTACCCTCCGTCACATTTTCTGAGGAAATAATATTCTATGGTTCCATCGTTTAATTTATTTTATTTTATTTTATCTATTTTTTTTGACAAAACATCTAATAATTCAAATATGAAATACAAGAAGAGGAGGGAATGGCTACTTAACATTCTACATTCGTACCTACGTTAATTCATAAAACATAACACTGTCCGCTCAACATTGGGAACTGTTAGTGAATTAAATGGTGTAAATTAACTGGCACTCAGTCGCCTACACGAGTAATGTTTGATGGCAAACTTCGGTGGCAGTTTCTTAGTTATAATGGCGCTTCCTTAGTTCAATATGGACTTTGTGAATAAATGTGGCAGCTTCTGGAAATATTAGGACCGTATTGCCACCATAACGCTCTGATTGCTTACTTGCGTATATTTACACATAAATAGGCACATAAATTTCGTCCTACGTCTTGGGTTGTAGTTTTACTAGAAGTGTTGCCTGCCCATTTATTCTGAGGGTAAATCTTCCAAATATCGTATTATGGTACGTTTTATAAGCATGTACTGTGCATTTAAAAACAATTTTGATCTATAAACATATAAATGCATTGTCCAATTAATGTTTGTGAACTTTTTAAAGTCATTACGAATTTTAGTTGTAGGAGTTTTCATAAATACAGTCTATAACTATAAGGTTCTACAGTCTACTCGGTAATAATGTTACAGTTAAGCTATCATAGTAAATTTAAAATTACGTCTACAGGATTTTGATTGCACGTGAGAAATTTTCATGTTGGTACTGGCTGGATTCAGAAGAACCATTTAACATTTTGGCTGAGTTTAATGAACAATCTTAACTATTTATGGCCAACAGTAACTTTTCTTGTTTCATTTACGGTTTGTATTAATAGATCAACGAGTGATGTTTTAGCTAAGTTCGGTCATCACTTCTCATTTAATATTTATATGCAGTAATTGAGTATATCAGACAACTATTCCAAATAAAGACATAAGCAACATTTCGTCGTATTTATGAAAACGTTTACTTTACGTTGAAGCTTAATGTGGCGGAAATAAGCGGTCATATACAACATGGACAGAACTGTTCACAATATTGCTGTGGAAAATATACGAGTGTCCTTTATAATGTTACACCCCCTCCCCCCCCGTAGTGTGTATCTGCAGTGTTTGAAAAAGCGAAATATGGGAATGATGTATTGCGAAACGCAATCCCTTTAAATGGTGTTTAGTTCGTGTTTTGAAATAAATATACCATTATTTTAAGCCTGTATAGTTTGTTTCTCTAAAAGAATTACTCAAAGTGTCCTCATCTGTCTTACCTACTATTTTCCATCAAAGAGGTACACAATACAAAATTATTACTGAAGTCAATAGATTTTAATCTGTAGGCTACGTTTATCTTCACAGTTAAATATTTACAAACGGGCGTGTTCTGCTCAGTTAAACGAAACACACCTGCTTCCTTTATCCTCGTGGCTTTATGTGTTTCTCCGATGTTCTGACTACAAGGTTAATAATGTGGAAAACTCTCTAACTTACCATTCAATTATAATAATAACCTATGAGAAAATGCTACTAAAATAAAAAGTAAATATACACTAAAACATTTAAATAAAACAATTTTTATTGGGTAAAACTGAAGTATTTTTCACTTCTGTTGGAGTTATTTTATTTATTTAATTTTTATATCCAACTGAAAACTCACTATTTTTAAAAGTGCAAGTAGCTAACCCTATTTTACATCTTGCCTTTTGCAACTGTAGTAAATAAACTAGTTCGTTTAATTAACAATGTTTTTGTACAACAGTTAATGTAGATAGTGGTGACAATAAATTACAATTATTCGTGTATATTTTCGACATTACACACACATTTTGTAGTAATATATTTGAAATAATTTAAACTAAAAATATAAAACACGACAAATAATAAACAATAAATTACGAGCATCATATACAATGTACAATATCAGTACTGTAACAATATTAGACTATAGAATGTAATATACAATGAGTATTTTTGCGAGGGAAAATTTGTTAATTTTCAAAACAATTAAAGAATGAAAAACATTTTGGAGTGATTAAGAATTGACATTTGGGTTAAGAGAAAGACGTTTTAAATAAACAAGTATAATCTTGGAAGTCTCGGCCTTAAAGATTTATCCAATGATTAAAAGAGGGTTAGGTCGTTCCGGGAAGGGCTCAGCCGAGTTGGTAAATAAAATATGTCCCTGTAAACATTGAGGCAGAGCAGAAGGAATCTCTCTGTGTGCATTTACACTAAAACTCACGATGATTATAGAATCTGTGGGAAGGGGTTTTCCCGCGTTAGAAATAAAAATAACTTTACAAACTGAGTTTGGTAGGTACTTGCAAGCTGTCAAAAAAGCAAGTAAAATAAAAGGTATGATTAGATAATGAGTGTTTCATAATCGACCTAATTGTAATCATCAGATTAAATTAAACCGTCAAGAATGTGTATGTTTTACATTTACATTTTCAAAATACGTATACGAACACATACAAAACCAAATAAATACGCAAGACTGTAAAATACGTATCTCAAACTAAGCGTTGATATAACTCCAACATTGATCTAGCAAGGAATCGAACCAGCGACCTTCAGATTCAATCTATAGGAATAATTCTTACTTAGGTTGGGCGAAGGAGACAGTACGAGTGGGTGATGTCCATTCTCCGTGGCCAAATTTGGGAGATTTTTTGTTGAAACCTGATCCGAGTCCAACGGGACTGGGACATTTAAGGTTGTCCCTGAATCGAAAGATCTCACCATGTTATTAGTTAATTTGGTATTCTTACGAGGATTCGTGATTACTTTCATAACTTGTTACAATTGAAACATTTTATAGCAGCTACTTAATTAATTAATACATTTCCAACAGCAAGTTTATTTTATTTGATAAACTATTATCTACATTGTTTTGGTAAAAAGAAATCGCTTTAACGTTAAAAACATTTTAGAACTTTTCACTTTCCTCTTATTTTACAAGGATATATTTTTGTGTCGCCCCAGTTTCTAGCAGTTGAATTACAAATTATATGTGAAAACTAATCTAATGGTGAGAATCCAAACCAATAGCACAAGAACGTAACTAAATGTAGTTAATTTACAAGGATAGTACAACTTCGGTTATAATATTGACATCGATCAAATTACGAATGGTGAATGCACGGGACAACGTATACAGCTATGATTTTGCCAATAGAAAATTAGTGATGATTTCAATTTCAACGTCCAAAGATCAATTCCTCTAGCAACGAATTGTGTCTTAACGTTAAAACAAGGTATGTTACCTTCTAAGTGCGTTACACCTGGTAGTCACACTTTTTATGAGAATCACGAAAACTAGTCACAATTATTTTGTAATCAATAACGACCTTTAATCTGTTTTAATACTTTAAAACACTAAACCACCACCATTTAAGGGAGGCGAAGAATTAGAGGGATGAAAGGACAGATTTTACTAAAGCAATGGGATGGACCTGACATGCTTCTTTTCTTGGTTTTGTTTGCAAATAAAGAATGAAGTTAATATCCGTTCTGGGATTAGTCACCTCGGGCATTGTCCGTTCCGAATGAAGGCGTCGTTCAAATGAATGATTGCCAGGTTTATCTGTTTGTAAATTAATGCAATTCGTTGATATTTTCCCTCGTGATGGTTTCAAACTTTGACGAAGATGCAATTTGTATATTGTCTAGTTAAATGAATGTTTTCAACTGTGAAGTTTTGATAGATATTTTGCCAATTTCGATAGCTTAACGTTAAAACCCCTTTAGTTTTTCCATCATTGGCACTCAGAGGTAATAAAAACTTTCGTTCTTTACTGGAAATAGCTCTAATCCAGAGTGGTGGATTTTATGAGTTTGTAAGTTGTGTTGAGAAAACTTGTATTCTGTCAGGACCCCATCCTGAAAACCATCACAAGAGATTGTGGATCAGCATTTATAATTTAACTGGCACAGGCAATGAACTATACAAGCGTCTAAATCAGAATAAAAAATATTGAAGGAAGGAACCCAAAAATTAAGAGTTATCCTCCTTCTATGAGGATTAGAACTGTTCATAAACTCTCTATACGTGAGTGGTCACCTACAACTAGCTTTAGATATTTTACATATTATTTCAATCCCGCTCCCCAGTGACCACCAAAGTTTGGATTGGAGGAGGGCTGAATTTCCAGAACATCCAGATGACCCAAAAACATTGAACAGCTCATTTTTCGGTTGGTAGTTATTTATCTGCTTTCCAGATCTACTTTGTCTTTGGATTTGGGTAGTGCTGTGTTCACTAGTGACACAATCCACTACTGGGATATTGAAAAAGATTCAACAAATTTCTATTAATAGCGTATAACATACCTCTGTACGAAAACATACAAAATTGAATTTGACAAAAATAGTTGAACGCCACTTGACAAAAATTAGACTAAACAGCCCTTAGCAGCAAACATCTCCTTATTTGGCAAATATAGCAATAAGGGAGGGAAATGACAATCAAGTCTTGTCACAATTACTGTTGACTTTGTGAGACAAACAAGCAGATGTTCTCATTTGGTTAATTAGGACTCAGCCAGCTTACTGCCTTGGGCATTCAGTACCGCAGATACTGTTTACTGTGTTATTTTTAAATTGTAGAAATACAATTTAAAATGAATAAACCTAATTTAAGTGAAATATATCGTGTACATTTGCTATTGAGACAGATTGGCTGACTTATTGGTTAACGATTAAAGAGAGTTAGGTTTCTTTACTAAATGTAAATACCAAAAAAGTTTTTT